ATTGCATGGAATATAGCAGAAAAGAAATTTTACGCAGCCCAAGTACTGAAAGTTAATAGTAATATATTCAACGTAACAGCTATAATTTGTCTCATATATCGAAAAGAATGTGAAAAGACAAAATCAGAGGAAAAAGCAAGAGTATGCTTTTGAGGTAACTAAGCGAAATATGATAGAGGGAAAGTAGAAAAGAATTCTAGAAGATGGGAGTATAATGAAAAAATTACTTGAGTTAGGATTAAACAGTAAATATTAATCAAATAGTAGGGAGAAAAGAATGCATGGTATGATAGTTACCCAATTTATAAACAGAATCAATGCCTACCTTACAGGGTTAGTATAAAACTGATAACAGATAAAAAGCACAAGTTAAGGTACAGAACATAGATAAAAAGCATAAGAAACATGCTCCATAATGCTAATTTGCTGTTGCTACTGGCAATCACTAATTCTTCAAGGACAAAAGACAATGGGAAAACATCAAATGAAAATTTGTTACTGAGGAGGAAAGTAAGGTAAAAAGGATATGCTCAATTCAAATATACCACCCTAAGTTTTAAGGCTTTGTAGGTCTTCTATTATTTAAAGAATAAAAACAAAAGAAAAATTAACAAAATAATGAAAATAAAAGATATTTCCGGTATTGGCTAGAAGAATCATCACATGTCTACAGAAGCAAGGAAATACCAGAAATCAATAGTTTTACCGTGGTCTTTCCTGATCCTCGGGGCCCAATAATGAGAACAGAGTTACTTTCTCCATGGATAGCAGTTCTTTTTAGCAGCTCAATTAAGTGTCTGAAATGACATAAATAGCCAACATTTAAAAAGGTAGCTAGAATAACTTGCTAGATAATACTTTTTAAAAGCTGAATATGAATATGCACAGAAAATAGGCATTCACTTTTTCTCTCCCACTTGGCACTTATGCTGTATATAGTCCTACACAGAAAAACACAGGAAGAGATAGTAAGTCCATATGAATCTCTAGAAACTTCAAGAGGAAACCAAGTTAAGTTTGAAATATCTTGGCTTTATGATGATATGGGACAAGGGACAACAGTGGCAATTCTTGGAACCTTTCACTCCACAGCTGGCACTCGAGAATCAGGTACAAGACCTCAGAATTTGTCTCCATAATACCAGATGACAGAAACAACAAAAGATTCAAAGTTAAGGAGCTTTCCTGTTATGAAAACATTTATATCTGCTCTTGCTTTATAATATTCAGTGCTTCTGTATAAAAGCAAAATTTTTTATCTCTATAAAAATGTTAGCCATATTCAAGATATAATCCATGTAAGGTAACGTAAAATCTATGTAGGTTTTTGAAAAACCTAAAGGGCATCTTTAAGTAGAAAAAGGGATAGCTAAACTTACTTGTATTGTACTTGTACTCCAAATAAGTTACTATGTGGGCTTTGATGACAAAATCTTTCCCGTAAAACTCTTTGTACCTGATTTAAAGAAGTGAGTAAATACAAATGAAAATGTTATTCATGAAATCAAAATGACTGAGAATACACATTTATAGCAGTCAGAATTAGGTATTAATCAATTTATTTAACCCTCCATAAATAGCTTATGTTCAAGAGTTCTGGTACCATTTTCATGAGTTGTAAAATTAGTGGGTTTTTTTTCTTTTTCTTTTTATTATCCCAAGTCCCAGAAGAAAGATGAGAATTTACTTGTGAAATCCAACAAGAGAATTACTTTAGCCACATCAGCAATTGGAGGGCTGTTTTACTGCATGTGAATAAATGATTGCTTCACTTTGTACATAACATATCAGCCAAGGAACAAAGACACAAAAGAATCGAATAACGTAATGTCATCTAATAATGCTCATGAACCACACCTCAATCTCTAGAGACCAAACACATCTAAACTGGCTTAGTTCAAGCCCTATCTATCTACATCTATCATGACAGTCAGGATTTGAGAAAATAAAGTTTAAAAGTCTATATACTTATTGAGGACCTATTAGATTCAGAACATACTACTACTAAAGGAGCATGACCCATGCCTAAAGAAACACTGCAAATAAATTGGGAAGAAATGACATATTGAAAAAAGTAGTAATTCAGCATATAAGGAAATGCTCAATTACATGGAAGAAATTGTGTTCATCTACACCTATAAAATGAAGAATCATTGGAATGAATTAAGAAAAAAAATCTTGTAAGGACCTAAATTTTGAGTTTGCCTTAGAAAAAAGGGCTTAGACTGGGTTTTAAAAAATTATGTCAGACAATCTAGCATAATTTTTAAAAATATAGACCATTAAAGGCATTCCGTTTCTCAATCTGCTGCTACTACAGAGGTCTTTCAGGGACAAAAGTCTTAAGAGGCTATTTCAGATTTGGTCCCATCATCAGAAGAAAGAAGCTTCCAAGATTATTTGCTTCTCCCACACTGACAACATTGGACCGATCCTTCATGTACCAAAAAGATAAATCTGAGTCCTGTTTACATGTACCAGAGGCTAAGCAAAGCAAATTATTCAGTAGAGATAAAATAATCCATATTATCATTCTCTAAGAAGGGGAAAGAATAAGGAGTGATGCCAGAAGTCAACTACATGGATTTTAAAGTTAGCCTTTTCTAAGTGTTAATTTTTTTAATATACAAAATTGAAACAATGAAACAGTTTTCTGGCAGGCCTGTTCTCAAGATTAAATAAGGCAGTCATCTGTAACATAACACAGGTATTGTATAGGTAACAGCTGATACCTATAAAACATTTAAATGAGCATCTACAGAAACTCAACTAAACATAATGCTTATTTCTCTACTTACGTAAGATCATTAGAAATCAAAAGATAAACCTCACTTTTTTTTTCTTTCTCAAACTTCATTAAAGTCTAATAGAAAGGCAAGAACTATGTATAACATCTAAGGGGTAAAGTGAAGTGAAGCTGTAGTGAACAGTGAAAGGTTCAAAAATCTCAAGGGATCTGAGATGAAGGTTAAATAGGTGTATACATGTACAGAAACTGAACTGTATGTAGATTTGTGCACTTTACTAGGATATGTAAATTATACTTCAGCTAAAAACTTTCTTTGAAACAGAGTTAAACATTTTCCTTCCAAAAAGAAAGTAAGGTCTTATATGAAGGGATGCCAATAACTTACATTTAGTTTTTATTAGAAAAACACACAGTTCTGGTCAAGCCAGATAAATAGAAATACCAGAGCAGTTATTATACCCACTCCCTACTATATTCCTTAAGGGAGACACACATACATGTATACTCACCATTGGAATACAGTATGCACTTAATATTAAATTTTCATGATAAAAACACCCAACATACCAGGAAAAAAGACAGCATCCTCAATCTGATTAAGGGCACCTACAAAAACTATAGCTAACATCATATCAATTGTGAAAGACTGAATGTATTTCCCAAATATAAAAAATGAAACAAGAATGTTCTTTTCACTTTTACTCAATATTGCACTGAAAGTTCTAGTTGGGGCTATTAGACAATAAAAAAAAATTAAAGTCAACCAGACTGAAAAGGAAGAAGTAAAACTATATTTGCAGATGACATGATCTTATATATTAAAAAACTAAAGAATACACTAAAAACTATTAGAACTAATAAGTCTGGCAAGGCTACAGGAAACAAGGTTAATATACAAAAATCAATTTCACTTAGATACACTAACAATGAACAAGTAAAAAAAATTAAGAAAAAAACTCCCATTTATAACAGCATCACAAGAAGTAAAAGAGGAATAAATTTAACAAAGAAGTACAAAACTCTGAAGATTACATTAAAGTAGATGGAAATTAGAAGACATTTGGGAAGGCAGAAGTCAAGTTAGCACTCTAACTATCCAAAGACTTACAAAGAATAAATAAATGTAGTGTAAGACATTCTACCCTTTTGAATGGAAAGGGAGTTATGTTCTCCCTTCACGTTAAAGGGAGAATTCCAGTTAAGAAGATGACAATTCTCTGATCAGCGTTGCATGTTAAGACACCTTAGGATTAATGAAAATACTAACCTGTGAAAGGAGCTCTGCATGTATTAAGTTGTTACTCTTTGATTTACGACTGCTCATTTCAACAAACTGAAATCCTTAAAAAAAAATAAATTAGCATGAATACAAAACATTACTGGCTTGAAAAGATTATTTAAGAATTTACTATCATAGAATCAAAATAAACACAAGTTTTAAAACATGAAAACATGAAAATGTTCAATTTCTCAAACTTCAAAAAATTTGGGCTAAACCTAGTGTCATAATCATTTCACAGTATATGTAAATCAAACCATCATGCTATACACTTCAAACTCATACCTTAATGTATGTCAATTTTTTCTTTCTTACAGACAACTACTCCATTTCTCTTCAATCTACTATTCACATCCCTTCCTTAACTTTTTTTTTTTTTTTTAATTATGCGCTTCCTTTATACAGAATGTTTCCCTCCCCATCCATCCCACAGGATCATCACATTCCACAAAACCTTTGCTTTCTTGCTCCATTCACCAACCATACACAATCATTAGAGAGTAGGTAAAATGCATCTTCTCTGAACATCCATAATTGCCTGTGTTTCTCTTTACCCATAATCAAATTACATTAAAAAAGATTTCCACTTAATTGCCAGTATCCCCAAACTGAGTATATTTCAAAATTAGATGTATTTTAGCATAATGTCCAAATAAAGTTGGGAATGATAGCAGGAATGAAAAATATATATACTATTAAGAAAAAGATAACTTGTAAAATTCTTCTTTAGGGCAACATATTCACAGATAAATACTTTTGGTTAAAAGATCTAATTTTCTTCGCATTGACTTCCAATAGCAATCCTTTACTAGTCTGGTAATAAGAACTTAAGCAGTGTTTACTTATACCAGGAACTGTTATGAGTGCTTCGTATATACCTCATTTAATAACTCATTAACTCATATTTTTAATTTCACATACTGACAATTAGATGCCAACCCCTGGAATGCTGTTTTATGCTTCCCTGGAAATGCTAACAGGGTAACATCTGACAAAGGCTATGACAGATAAATAGCAAGAAAATCTGTCTTCCTTTTATTGTATAAGCTATGTAGCCAGGGCCTAAACTCTGGCTTCTGGTGCCAAGCTCCCAAACTGGAAACTCAAAAACAGAGTCATCAACTGCTGTCTTAACCTTTAAGAATATTTTTTCTTAGGAGAAAATTAGTCTTCTCAGCTGCCCCTAGAAGGCACCTAATCCCTAAAAGGCACCTTCTATCAGCCTAATGTCCATGCAAGGCACCTTGTTTGAGCATCTTTACATTAATTATTTTTACTTGATTCTACTTAATTATTTTTTCCCTTAAATCAGAGTTGTATGTGGGGTTTAGAAAACCCTTTCAGCAAAATGAAATGACAGCCTCACTGTGGTTTAAGATACTCTTGATTATGAAAAAGATCTGTAAGTCAACATCTGAACTCACAAAAAAACATGAAATAATTGCCTACTAGAAAATGAGGACTGAATTTTTAAAAAGTGGGGGAGAGCTTTTACAATATGCTTTTGTTTTTAGGGCTATAATAGCTATTTCAAACTATCACTGAATTTAAAAAATATTTTCCCCATTTCATGGATTAAGAAAACAATGCTCATGAAAGCTAAGTAAAATGCCTGAGGTCATAGGTAGGTGTCTAATCTGCCTCCTTGCATCAAATATAATTCAAGTAAACCATTAAAAGCATGCATTTGTCTTCTTTTGGGGATCATTCATGAAAGAAACACACACAGTACTTCAGTGCCTACCTCACTGTAAATTAAATCTTAGTCAAAAGATTAATTTTAATACATTTTGCCCCTCCAAATAACAGTCAAATCTGCACTCCATAACAAAGAATATTTTAAAAAACAATTCTAATTTAATAGACAAAAAACAAGCTTTAGAGCATGACAGAAAATATTTGTAATCCACATTTGACAAAGGACCAATATATAAAGCATCTTCAAAATTCAACAAAAAAGGAACAATCCAATTAGAAAAATCTGCAAAAGACATAAACAGACATTCCACTGAAGAGGATATAGGGATGGCAAATAAACAAGTGAAAGATGTTTAACATTATTAGCCATTGGAAAATGCAAATTAAAACCATAATGAAATATCAATACATATCTGTTAGAACAGCTAAAATAAAAAAGTGAGGTAACACCAAATGCTGGTGAGGATGCAGAGAAACTGGATTTTTCACATAACTACTGGTGAGAATGCAAACTTGTTACAGCCACTATGCAAAGTTTCTTGCTGGCAGTTTCTTAAAAACCTAAATATATTCTTACCATGCAACACAGCAAGCAACTGTACTCTTGGGTATTTATCCCAGAGAAATGAAAACTTATGTTCAACCTAAAGCCTTGTAATATGAATGCTCATTACAAATTTACTCATAATAACCCTCAAACTGGCAACAATACAGATGTTCTCCAATGAGTCAACAGAATTTAACAAACTCAAACATCCATCCATATAAGGGAATATACTTGAGCAAAAAAAGAGGAGTAACTACTGATACATGCAACAACATACATGGATCTCAACAGTATTGATTACCCATAGTAAAAAAAAAAAAGCCAACCTCAAAAGAAAATTACATATTTTCTGATTCCACTTAAACAACATTCTTGAAACAATGTGAATAATAATTTGTACTAAAAACTTCTACAGTAATTGTAGTCACTCAAGCTTACATTTGGTACTAAAATGATTAAGAGCCATGTATAGATATTTAGTTCCTCTTACACTTTGTCTAGTCCTACTATTTCGGAAAAGTAAATAAAATAAAGCACAGAGGGAAGTGGAAGGAGTCCCAAGATCCACTGGTACAACTGAAATGACAAGAGATTAAGAACAGAGTGGTAGTGGCTAAGAGACAGAGTCAAGGTTGCAGGGGTGAGTATAACTACAAAAGGGTTGCATGGAGAGTTACTCTGTAATGGTGGAACAGTTGTGTATCTTTATTGAGGTGGTGGTCACACAAATCTATACATGGGATCAAATCACAGAGAATTATACAGACATACAAAAATCAGTGCAAGTAAAATCTGCTTAAAAACCAAATAAGACCCATAGTCCAGTTAACGATATTAGAGCAATATTAATTTCCTGATTTTGGTATTGTATTATAGTTATACAAGAGTTATACGTATAACTCTATATATAGAGTTACATGAGAGGTCACCCTTAACAGAAGCTGGACGAAACTGGTTTACAGGACTCTAAGTACTACTTTTGCAACTTCTGTGAGTCTATAATAATTTCAAAACAAAAATTTAAGAAAAAGACAATTCTAATTTTAAAGTTTTTTTCCCCCAACTGCTTAATGACAAAAAATGAAATGAGTAATAGTGGTACAACTAAATCTTGATTATCTGAAAATTGATTATTAGAGTATGCTTGGTTGAATTTCTCTTCAAATTATACCAGTGCATCCAGGGACTACTTCCACTTCCTACTTTGCTTTCTATAATATGATTTTATTTGCTATTCTAAAATAGTAGGACTAGATAAAGGGTAAGAAGAGCTGAATGTCTATGCATGACTATTACTCATATTGGTGGAACCTGGGTGACTCTAATTTTTTAATTGTAGGAATTTTGGTACAACCTACTATTACTTACTGATACTATTTCAAGGAGCAGTGAAATGGGTAATTCCAAGGAATGGCTTACTCTCATATTATTTCTTTAGCTTCCAGTGGACCTGCCTCTCAAATTATGTTCTGCTAGAGTGAACGCACCAGTTTTCAATCTCAGATGCTGGAGTAACAATTGGCCTATTACACTGCCTAAAGAATTTCAACCCAATCCACTTCTATCACTAGCTGCTTCGATCCCATTTTACATCAACATCATTTCTAGACCAGAAATCTATAGCAACTTTTTTATCGGTCTCCAACTCTTATACTCATTAGTGATACCACTTTCACATAAAAACCCCTCAGTTCCCCCCAAGCCCCCAAATTCTGAATTCCAAATTCTCTAACACCATTTAAAAGGAAGGGTCTGGGAGCACCTGAGTGGCTCAGTCAGTTAAGTGTCTGACTTCAGCTCAGATCATGATCTTGTGGTTCACGAGTTCAAGCCCTGAGTTGGACTCTGTGCTGACAGCTTGGAGCCTGGACCCTACTTCAGGTTATGTGTCTCCCTCTCTCTGCCACTCCCCTCCTTGTGCTCTCTCTCTCTCTCT